CCAATTCCTCCCACTGATACCAACAACAATCAAGGCTTAACTACAACAAGACTATGCACAAAGCCCACAAAGGGGTGCACCAAGAGTGTCCACCTCAGGTAATGGGGGAGGCTTAGCCACTGGGTCCTATAGGACACCTAGCACAGAAAGCCACTCTATCAATACAGGAAAGCAGCCAAAATGTGGAGACAAAGAAACAGGTCACAAATGACAGAAATGGAGGAAAGCAAACTACTGGATATAGAAAGGAAAACCATGGTTATAAGGTTTTTCAAGAATTTTCTAGAAACCGCCAATAAATTTAGTGAGACCCTCGATAAATCTAGTGAGACCCTTGAGGATATGAAAAAGGACCAATGAGAAATTAAGCATACACTGACTGAAATAAAGAATATTATACAAATATCCAACAGCAGACTACAGGATCCCAAGAATCAAGTCAAAGATTTGAAATACAAAGAAGCAAAAAACACCCATCCAGAAAAGCAAAAAGAAAAAAGAATCCAAAAATATGAAGGTAGGGTAAGGAGCCTCTGGGACAACTTCAAGCATACCAACATCCAAATTCTGGGGGTGCCAGAAGAAGAAAGAGAGCAAGATATTGAAAACCTATTAGAAGAAATAATGACAGAAAACTTCCCCTACCTGGTGAAAGAAATAGACTTACAAGTCCAGGAAGCACAGAGAACCCCAAACAAAAGGAATCCAAAGAGGACCACACCAAGACACATCATAATTAAAATGCCAAGGGCAAAAGACAAAGAGAGAATCTTAAAAGCAGCAAGAGAAAAACAGTTAGTTACCTACAAGGGAGTACCCATATGATTGTCAGCTGATTTCTCAACAGAAACGATGCAGGTCAGAAGGGAGTAGCAAGAAATATTCAAAGTGATGAATAGTAAGAACCTACAACCAAGATTACTTTATCCAGCAAAGCTATCATTCAGAATTGAAGGTCAGATAAAGAGCTTCACAGACAAGAAAAGGCTAAAGGAGTTCATCACCACCAAACCAGTATTATATGAAATGCTGAAGGGTATTCTTTAAGAAGAGGAAGAAGAAGAAAAAGGTAAAGATAAAAATTATGAACAACAAATAAATATCTAACAAGTGACTCTAAAAATCAAGTGAATAAAAAATCTGATGAACAGAATAAACTGGTGAATATAATAGAAGCAGGGGCATAGAAAGGGAGTGGCTGACAATTCTCGGGGGGACAGGAGTGTGGGGAGTGAGGGAAGAGATTGGACAAAAATCTTACACCTATGGATGAGGACAGTGGAGGGGGTAAGGGCAGAGGGTAGGGTGGGAACCAGGTGGAGGGGAGCTATGGGGGGGAAAAAAAGGAGCATCTGTAATAATCTGAACAATAAAGTTTTAATTAAAAAAAACACTTCTCACACTCTTTCTTCTTCCTTCCTTTATCTATCTATCTATCTATCTATCTATCTATCTATCTATCTATCATCTTTCATCTATCCATCCATTTATCTGTCTAAGACCAGATCAGTCTCTTGGTCCTACAAGGTAGATTTCCTAATCTACACCGCACCAAGTTTCATTCTGATTTTCTCTTTCCCATAACTAACTTTATTCTCACACAGTGAAAAACCTGGTTCCCATTATCTAATACTTGATTATCAGAAAGTCGTTTCAAAATCGCTAACCCACACCACATGAAAAGAAAGCCCGCTAACTACAGTTAAATATTTATTTAAAGTTCTTTTTGTCTTTAGCATGAGGACAAAGCAGTCAAAATACTGTGTTCAAATGTTACAGCGTTGATTTCATTCCTGAATAATTAGGTTATTCAAAACTGTTCTGTTGAAATATTGTTCTGTTAATCTGTTTCTATTCCATCTTAGGGTTTTCCCTATTCCTATTGATCTTATTTATTTTCTCTAAGTATATGAGTCATTAACACAATATACTAAACCAGAACTGTTCAAAAGCTGTGCTCAGAGTAATGTCAGTCCCCCCACCCAGTCTATACTTTTTCTAACCTTCCCATCTCATCCCCATCAATGCCTTGTAGCTAGCCAATCTCAGTAGTCCCTGGTTTATCCTTCTTGTGTTTCATTCTGTACAAATAAGCAGATAGATGCATATTACTTTATTGCCCCTTATTTGTTGCACAAAAGATAGAACACTAAGAATGCAATCAATCCTCCTTTGCACTGTAAAGTATATGTAAGACACCTATGACTTGTGTTCAGTTCTCTTTTGCATTTTCTTGCCATTTCCTGTATATCCCTGATACCCCATGACTAGAGAGCTCATGGAATCCTAAGTTCACTGACGTAAAATGGTATAAACACAATACAGGTGTAGTTTTAAAAAGTGACTTCTGTCCTCTGCTAGACAAGCATTCTTGCCCAAGGATCCCAGAAGAAGCCTCAAGTCAGTGCAGATGGAAAACACCACACCCAAACCCAAGATCCTCGTTCAAGGAACAGTCACTGTCAGCCAGATGTCCTTTCCTATTACTGGAGCTAGGCATCCAGAAGCAAAATAACTAGGGTCTAAAACAGCCGTGGGCAAACTACGGCCCTCGGGCGTTGGAAATGAATAAAACTAAAAAAAAAAAAAAAAAAAAAAAGACCGTACCCTTTTATGTAATGATGTTTACTTTGAGTTTATATTAGTTCACACAAACACTCCATCCATGCTTTTGTTCCGGCCCTCCGGCCCAGTGTAAGAACCCATTGTGGCCCTCGAGTCAGAAAGTTTGCCCACCCCTGGTCTAGACCAAGCAACCTCATGGCTTTGTGTAGGTTACAGATTTAAAAGGAAAGCCAAGCAGGCACTCTCTACACAGGGCCACCACTGCCCCTTCCTACAACTTCGTTTGGCTTGCGGGCGGCCCGGGCTCTGGAGGGAGGCCCCTGGGGGAAGGGCCTAGGCCAGGGGCGGGCACACTTTCTGACTCGAGGGCCACAATGGGTTCTTACACTGGACCGGTGGGCCGGAACAAAAGCGTGGATGGAGTGTTTGTGTGAACTAATATAAATTCAAAGTAAACATCATCACATAAAAGGGTACGGTCTTTTTTTTTTTTTTTTTTTTTTTTAGTTTTATTCATTTCAAACGGCCGGATCCGGCCGCGGGCCATAGTTTGCCCACGGCTGGCCTATGGGGTCTGTGCTTTCCTGGCAGCTAGCAGGCTGCACCTGCTCAGAGCCTACAGGACACACAGTGGAGCTGTTTTTCCTCAGCTTGAATAAGTTAGATTTAGCAGGAAGGGGGAGGGGAAGGAGGAAACAGGAAGAAACAATTACACACCTGTCCATTTACTTCCCAGGAATTCTTCTTCCAAGAACTCATAAGCATTGGAAAAAACTTGAGTGGAATTAATTTCAGTTCCCTTATTAACACAGGCCATTACCACCTCCCACCTTCTGTCCTGGCCTTTATCTAGATCCCGGAGACTTGGCTAATACATTATTGGGACATATGTATAACTCCTTTCTGACAAGACCAGACCAACTTAGTGGGGTCAGTCCTGTTCAGATACAGAATGACTGTTTTCCCATTTGTCTGGCTGTGGACAATGAACTATAGGGATTCTGCTGCTCAGAATCTTCGGAAGCAAGTAGAGGCTGGAAGGACCTCCTCTGACCCCCGGCCATCTGTAGGAATTGGTTATGGATAGTTCAAGAGGCCCGGAAAACCCCTGGCTATGAATTCCAGACCTGGTCACACCATCCTAGGGCCCTTCCGGGTTCAGCCAAGGAGCTGGTCATTGTGAACGGCAGGTCTCCCATCAGCCTGAGCTTCTCGGACCTGCCCCAGCACCCAGTCCTCACCACTGTAAAGAAGAGCATGCTCTCGCACTGAGGCACCAGGCCACCAGCGTGGATGGATGCCCTGTCTCCTGTGTCAAATGGTGAAAACCCACCAGCAGTCCCCACCTCAGGGGAGACCCCTTATTCCCCTGCCTGCTGCTCAGAGGCTGTGGGATATGGTACAAAAGGAGCCAAATTTAGGGTTAGAGTCCCTGCAACTCTGTTGATTTGGGTCAGTTCACAAAGATGACTCTCATTGTCAATGGCCTGGCCTGTACAACAGGGACCTGATAATAGAGATTTCTCTCTTGCAAGGTTTTGGCAAACATTTAGTAAAATAACAGTGATTAATACGTGTTTTAGAAATTTAAAAATGTTCTTTAAAAACTCTGACTGCCTCTCCACAAAGCAAACGATGGCAGACGGTTTATTCCAAAAGTGCAGGCAGGGGCAGCAGCCCCAAGAATGCTGCAAGCCCACCCCCAGGAGTTTATCTGACTGTGTGTCAGCACAGAAAGGGTTAGAAAGAGGTAACTGCCTTCCAAATTGCCATCCAGATGGGCAGGAAAGAAAAATGCAGCACTTAGGCAGAGAGAGTTCAGTGTGACCTGGGATATTGAGAGAAATCTTAATGAGGAAGTGGCATGCAAACTGCGCCTTGAAGGGAGACCAGGTGTGGGCAGGAAGAGAGAGAAAAGGGAAGTCATTCCCTGCATTTGGTATCATCTTCTGGGTAAATCAGGATATAATAAATGTGTCGGTATTTTTTAGTTGGAGTATTAACTATTTCTCAGAAGTAGCTTTTTATCATGGTGAAAGGCCATTGTCTTTAACGATGTCTAGAGGTGGTAGAGAAGTTGCAGAGGCCACACACTGCCCAGCCAGAGTGAACCTCATCCTGGATTCAGCCGTCACAAGGCTGTGCAGCTCTGTAGCCCCTCTGGCCTGTGGAGAAATGTATGCTATGGGGCCAGGCAAAGATCCAAGTAGAGTTAGAGGGGGCTCGTGTTTCATGAGCACCTACCGGGTGCCAGCGATGCACTGAGCTCCTCCAGGCTTTGGTGTTATCATCGGCATTTTACTGGTGTGGGAAGTAAAGCCTTAGAGAGAAGTTCAGCAACATATTACATAGCCAGGAGTTTAACTCTTTGTAAATAAATGAGAACAAACACTTGCAGGTGCTTTTATTTTGTGGGTCTGCTTTGCATTACTCAGGTGTCTCCATGGAAGCCATTCTGAAACTCTTTGGAGAATACTTCTTTAAATTCTGTAAGAAGTCTGGCTATGACAGGATGTTACGAACACTGGGAGGAGATCTCACGGAGTTTATTGAAAATCTAGATGCCCTCCACAGTTACCTTGCACTTTCTTATCGGGTAAGGCGACCTGAGGCTGGTCTTGGTGGTCCAGAGAAGAAGTGCCTGTAGGCATTCCGGGTCATCCGGGGCCATCTCCCTGCCTCCCCCAAAAGCAGGCAGTTGCAAGGGGCCTGCAGAATCCTTGGTACCTGGTGTCAGTGGACTGAAGAGTTTTCTTGGGAAAGGAATGGAAAATGTGTACCTGCTGACCACTTTTATAAAACAGTCAACCCTAAAAGAAGGGCAAGCTAGAGAGGTCAGCTTTGTGGTGGAGGATGACCTGTTTAACGGGGCTGGTGTGGGTTTGGAATTAAGTCTAGAAGATTGATCACCACGGAACTAAGGCTGGGTTAACAGCCAGGTTTCAGTGGATTTGCAAAATCTCTCCTCAGGTTTCCTGGCCTTGATGGAGCTGATAAAAAGCTTCTGTAGCCAGATTCATTTATTCATGTATCAGAAGGAAAGACTTGGCAGGGCCAAGAGCCGGAATCGGACACTGTCCAACTCTGATTAACCCATGGAGTGACTGCCTGAGGTTTTAGCAAACCAGTTTCCCTATTGGGGAGTGTCCTTCTGGAGTTCATGCCTTGGTTTTCTTGTTTGTAGAGATCATTGAAAATTCAAACACTTAGACTCCCTTTTCTGTGTTAGAAAATAAAATGTTTTAATGAAAACACAAAGCAACATTTACACATACCATAATAATAGTTCATTATTTTATATTAGTTTATATTTATTTTAGGGCCCTTTATAGTTTATCATTTTTGTATTTAATGCTTATCACCACCTTTGAAGGACTGTCGTGAGGATGAAATGAGATAATGTATGCTAAAATGTCATGAATCATAGTGCACCCTTACAGATGTTAAAAGGGAAAAGTATTATTTCCTCCAGTTTCCAGAGAGGGAATAAGAGGCTTAGAAACCTTAATTGACTTCTAGTAGGATGAGTAGCTGGCTCTGTCTTGTTGTTACAATGTGAACAACTCAAGAATGGAGACAGTCCCCAGCTGGTGTGGCTCAGTGGTTGAGCATTGACCTATGAACCAGAAGGTCATGGTTTGATTCCAAGCCAAGGCACATGCCTGGTTGCAGCCTCAATTCCCAGTGGGGTGCAGGCAGGAGGCAGCTGATCAGTGATTCTCTCTCATCATTGATGTTTCTGTCTTTCTCCCTTCCTCTCTGAAATAAATACATATCTTATATAATAAAAGCCCAGTGACCGAACAGTGGAACAACCAGTTAACCAGTTGCTATGACACGCACTGACCACGGGGGGGGGGGGGGACAGATGCTCAACGCAGGAGCTGCCTCCTGGTGATCAGTGCGCTACCACAGTGGGAGTGCAGCTCAGCTGACTGGGATGAGCGGCTGCTCCCACTGAGAACCCGGGGCCCATTGGCAGGAACCCAGGCTGCGATCTTTGCCTCCTCACCCCAGGCTCCTCCTCCTTGCTACCTGCCACCTCCTCCGGAAGCCCACAGGCCGCGCAGTGCTGCTGCAGGGCTGGCAGAGCTGACCCCAGAGGTTGGGAGGCAGGTTCGTGGCCTGGCCACCGTGGGACTGAGGCCTACTCTGCCACCTCTCAATGCTATTGTCCCTGGGCCTGACCCTGACCAGGCCCCCTGGAGAGGTGAGTGCTCCGGCTCGACGGAAGATGCCGGACCAGGGAGCAGCTGCTCAGAGGGCAGGTCCACAGCTGCTCGGCTGACCTGGATGAGCGGTGCTCCCACAGCAGGCTGATCCCCACAGGCCACACACACCCCCACCAGTGCACAAATCCCATGCACCAGGCCTCTAGAATATACATACAGATTAGAGAGAGTGAAAGGATCCCTGGCTAGGAGGTCAGACACTGCCACTTCCTGGCTGGTGATTCCAGACAAGTTAGTTGCCCTCTCTGGACCTCAATTTTTTCACATATTTTTATTGAATAAATATGTATTCAGCACCTATTTTGTGCCAAGCACTTTCTTAGACATTACACACAGTGAAAAAATAGAATAAATAGTGGGGGGAGAATCCTACCTCATAGTGATGTCTTGATTAAAGAGATAACATGTGGAAGTCCCCAGCATTGTAATCAGGCCAGAAGGAGTATTCCATTTTTAATGACTTTCTTCCTTCCCCTTCCTTTTCTCTTCAGTCAATATAGCTAGTTTTAAAATTCTGATAATTTATATGGTAACTTACTGTCAAATTTCTTAGCTAAAACTCTACAATTAGAATATAAAAAAGTATAGTTAGACCCTTTTAATAATCTTTCATAATACTTTTTAATATCATATCTTTCATCTGAAAATTTGGCTAATACTTTATGCCACAGTCCTGGAGAACATAGTAACATGTTCGCCCATTTATTCATTATATCAAAAACATTATGGAATATATTTTATGTTCCATATATTGTTCTCAGCATGTTACTGTCACTAATACGATAAGAAGGAAAGGCATCGAGGCTCTGGAATCCCCAAGTCTACTGTTTCTATACCCATTTCTGCTACCTTTCCTCTGGTAGTTATTCCTTCATATGTCAAAACCAATGCTAAAGAAGCAGTTCATAGACATTCTCTAGGGGTAAGTGAGGATATTTTGCATAAGATAAATAAAATACATAAATGTTGCCATATGCAAGCTGAAATAAAATACATGGCAATGATAACTGATAGCTATATAGTGCTGCTTTATACTCAGCAAAATATTATCGATTGTCTTTTTAGGTAAAAGTAAAATAATGTCAGCTTTTCTTTATGGTTGTCTCTAATAATTTGGCAGTCCCTTACAGGCATTCATTTTCTGGTTATAACTGTAGTTAACTTTTACTGAGTGCTAATTATGAGGCAGGTATTGGGCTAATTTATAAACATTGAATTATCCTCTTAACCCCTAAGATTAGATACCTTTACTTTTCCCACTACACAGACGAGAAAATTGATGTCCATAATGGTCAAGTAGCTGTTCTAAATCGCCCAGGTTGTGGTCGCTGAGCTAGTACCCAAATCCAGGTGTGCCGACCCCAAAAACCATGCTCCGGTTGGCTTCGTATCACTTTCTCTTTGCTCTGATTCTCCACTTCCATAAAGCCCCGTTTTAATAAAAAAATAACAGTATAGTTATGTTATTCAGAGCATTGGAGCCACTGATCAGAAGAATTGAAAGCTCAAACTTTGAGAAGTATCTCTGGGAAGTGGCCTAGGCTGGGAACGAGACGTGAGTGGGGAAACAGTCACAGGAGTGAGTCTATTTTTAAATTAGTCCTTCTATACTCCTTTATTTTCCCCACTATGCAGGGTTTGGATATAATTTTTTAAAAAGTAACTTTTAATTTCCTGTTTTATCACATAATTTTATATGTGATACTTCAAATCTTTTTTATATTCTGTCAAGATACAAACACACACACATACATACATGCACTATCTCTATGTAAATACTTTTGGAAAGATAAAATAATTATTTTGGGGAAAACTTCTCATTTTAACTGACAACTCTCCCAACATACACACACGCACACACACACACACACACACACACACACACACACACACCTCCCACACATCCACTCCACCATGGGAGATAGAGAAGATCTCAGAAAGAATGCACCCCAATCTGTTCCTTCACTCAGACCAAAAGCTGTGAGCCAGGTGCTGAGCTGCCTGCTCATCAAGCAGGGACCCTCTCCCCCGACAGAGTCCTCACCTCCTGACATTCCTCTAACGTGACATGGTGCGTTCTTGGAGAAAGATGATCTCTGCTGATGTATCCTTGATGTTTCAAATGTGAAAATTTTCGCTACACAGGACATTATTCTTCCAGAACAAGAAATAAACTCTTCTCCACTTGCAAATTCCTCTGAGCCCCTGACCTTTCTGAGAGTGAAGATATCCATGGTAACTTGGTCACAAACCAAGCAGGCAACCCTTGGAGTGAGGGGGAAAGCAGCACGATAGCTGGGAAGGCTTTGTGAGGGTCAAAATGTTGTGCCTTTATGAATTTAGTTTCAGTTGCCCGAAGCCTCAGTTTCCTCCTCTTTGAAATGAAGGTCATACTTGCGTATGTAGTTGTTAGGGGGTTAGTTATCATATACATTCCTGACATATAGGGACCATGGTAGATTTTGTTTTAGTATGAGGAGGGGGGTTGGAATATAGTTCTGTGTGCTGTAATGGATAAGTACTTTTGGTTCACAAAGCCTTAGGAAGCATAATTTAAACAACTTGCATTCACTGGGAAAAACATGCTGTGTCTTTTAATTAGGAGATGAATGCACCATCGTTTCGTTTGGAGAAAGGAGCCGACGAGAAAATGCTTCTCCATTACTACTCTGACAGAAGTGGTCTGTGCCACATTGTGCCAGGTATGGGGACAGCTGAACCCGTCGCACAGCTACGAGGTCTCGGGGGCTTTCCCCACTAATTCTCCAGGTGGCTCAGAGCCAGCTGTGGGCAGGAAGTTACACTCCATCTCTTCCAGTGTCTGACGCTTTGCCACCTTGACCATTATTCCCAAAGTTCTGAGTCTTTAAAATAAATTTTCAAAGTGCCAAAAAAGGAATAATTTTCACTTTTATTTCAACATTGAAAATTAGGCTGGTTTTTACATAGTTGTAATAATTCTGCATATATTCTTTTGTATCAACTTTTTTTTGTATTCAGCATTATAGAAAAATCATCCTCCCATGTTCGTACAGTCTGCAAAACCACCATCTATGGATGGGGTTTGTGCATCTCCAATATTCAACATTGTAATTAACCAATCCCCTATTTTTGATATTTTAGTTGATACCATTGTTACTATTGTAAACAGTACTGTGATGAACATCTTCAGGCATGCTTTTATCTTTTTTATATAACCCTGGGTTAGATTCCCAGAGGAACACTTTAAAAACATGATCCTTAATGCTTTTACAATGAATTTTGATTACATTATTTCCAGAGTTCATTTAATAAGTTAAATACTTCCTTGAAATAAACCAACACACAAAAGATGCTTAATTTAGAGTGGCAGGGATATACTTGTATAGTCATGTATAGTTTAAGCCATGTATAGCTTAAATCTCTGTAAAGTTATTTTATTTTTTAATTTTATTAATATCTCATATGCTGCTTGTCTTGAGGCAAGGCACAGACTTGGTGAACTCTGGAATATTCATCAGAAGTTGTATAACTTGATTATTATTTTTTTTTGCTGACACACTGCCTTCTGCCATCCCTCATTAATAGGTGTTCTTCTGCTGGCTACAGGTATCATTGAAGCTGTGGCCAAAGACTTCTTCAACATTGATGTGTCCATGGATATACTTGACATGAATAAGGAAGCGGAGAGGACAGGGAAGATGGAGCACGTTGTGTTTCTGATTGTGCAGAAGCCTCACAGACAGATAAGAAGAGCAAAGCCAAATAGGTTACAAAATGGTCAGGACATCCAGAGAGACCAAGAGGTACTGGGTTTGCTGTGTCCTCAGAAAGCATAGTCCCTCCTAGTGGGAGAGTCAACTGCACCTTCTACTAGTGGATTAAGGCAGGGTTTCTCATTCTTAGCTAGTGACATTCTGGACTAAATAATTCTTTGTTGTGATGGACTCTCCTGTGCAGTATAGGATGTTTAGCATCACCTCAGGTCTCTACCAATTAGATGCTAGCAGCACCCTGCCCCCCAATTGTGGCAATCAAAAATATCTTTAAGCATTGCCAAATGTCCCCAGCTAGGGGTATGGGACAAAATCACTCCTAGGTGACCCTCTTGTTTAAGGTAACCTAAATATGTGTTGGGAAGTTTTCTGGGGTATACCTTAGCCTGGAAAATTTTCACCTATAGAAATACTAATATAAAGGTTTTGAAATCTGACCCTGTGGCTTATTTTGCAACCTTTTTGAAATAAACTGACCTTTCAAGTCCTTAGTGCCCATTTATGCAGCTGGGACCAGTCAGGGGTCTGGAGTGAACTCATGATCCTGTAGTTGGCTACCTCAGTTGTGACTTACAGATGTTCTGTTATCTCTTAGGCACCACATATATTAGATGCACAGCTCTGTATCCACATAGCTTGTACAAACATCCAGATAAGCCTGTGATTCCTGGAGCACACAGTGTTTATATCTTACAGCAAAGCCCACCTCAAGTCTGTTCACTGCAGAATCTACAACCATGGGAAGAGAAGATGACCATGTGTGATTTCCTGCCAGCCCACTCTTATAAAAGGTTTTTGCTGCCTTTGAGAGAGAACCAGCCTGAGGATTAATTATATAAAAATCTCAGGGCTTACAAAGTCTTGGTAGGATTGACCTTGCAGCTCTTGCTGTTCCTGTGGCCCCAATCACAGCAAATGGGGCTTGTGCATCTCCAGTTCCATGACCAGCCATGTGACCAGGCGCACATGCTTCTCTCCCTGTCACTGCAGGCCCTCCAGGCAGCTTTCCGAAGGATGAAGGAGAAATATTTGAGTATCTCTGTTTGCCCTGTGAAGAAATCTCGCTGGGAAGTTGTGAGAAGTATAGTCATGTTTGGAAAAGGTGAGTGGGCTATTTATTCTTCCAACCTTGGCTCCCAAGAGTGATTGCACACAAAAGGGCAAAGTCCTCAATGATTGTTATGTCCCTGATTCTGCAGAATTTGGATTTGGCTGGTATGGTTTTTAAATTTAAAATGTCAGATTCTAACTTGCCTCCCTTTGCCCCCTTGATTTGTGCTGGGTGACATGGAGATCCAGTTTCCCCTGTAGTCAGAGAGGCTTGGAATCAGCCCTACTGGGTGACTGTGCTGAAGAGAAGGAAGATGAGTACTGACATATTATCAAGAACAATGAATTGTCCATGGCTCCTCAGGCCTCCTGCACTGGCACGCATTTCTGGCCTAGCAGTCTGTGATTAATAAGCATGGTGTCCAGTAATGCAAAGGACACTGAATCAAGAGGCAAGAGACCAGATTTCTGGCTCTGTCCCTGGGGAGCTGTGTAATCTTGAACAAGGTCCTTCATCTTCCATCTGAAAAGTGAAGGCAGTAGTCTCTCTGCTGGCTGGTCTCAGGATCAGCACCTAATGCCTGAATCAGAATAAGGGTTCTGACTCACCAGGAGAAGGGAGCTAGCGTGTCCTCATCAAGTCCCCCTGGATCATGATGACATGCATCTGGGAGAAGGTCTGCAGGGCTCAAAGGGCTGCATTTTAAGTCCCTCAAGCCATGGCAAGCTACTCAAACACACAATTGACATCCTTTGTCTAGGACATTTTCATATCAATAAGGCTCCATTTAGAATCTCTACCCTCTGCCAAATAGGGCTGTTGGTTAAATTTTAATGTGTCACCCAAAACTGTCAGTCTCAAAAGCTCCATGGCAAATGTCCCCGACGCTGGGCCCGGCACACACACTCTGCTCTGTGAGCTCATTGTCTGGCTGTCACTGTCTCAATGCAGACTCTGTTTTCATGGCGAGACATAATTGGCCTAGAAACTCTTCAGCGGCAGGCAGAAACTTGGCGGGGGCAGGGGCACTTCTCAACCTGGTAGCAAGTTTTCCGTTTGTTTTAATTTGGAAGAGGAATTGCCATGGCCATCTGGAGATGCGGAGGGAGCGTGCAGAAGAGTGGGGACTGCACTTTGCCTGGGAAACATTTAAGATCCTCTCCTGAGCGCCACTCTGTGCCAGGTTGGTGGCGCCAGTGGTCTGTGAACAGGACTCTTCTTCTGTTTTTACACCCAGGGCATCTCCTGGACGCCTTTGTGCCGCTTTATCCCGAGCAGCTCTGGATTGAAGTTAAGACATTCTGCAATGCTTTTCCTTTCCACGTCGTATTTGATGAATCAGTAAGGGGCCCTTTTTCTCTGGAGCTTGGATTGGGGATACTCTGGGGACCTGAGCATGTTGTATAGTCATTCTGGCTGGTAGTGACTTTTAAGTTCTTGAAGAGTGCCCAGGGTTTGGGAGAGCAGGACTTAGCTGCATAGGACCATTGACTTCCTTTTCATTGTGGCAGCCCCCAGAAACCAGATGCAGAATCTTCTTGGTAAATATGGGAGGAAGAAGCGCTAAGAGATCTGAACTAGTGATTGCATAAGAAAGTTTGCCACTAGAGAAAAAGGAAGTGACACTAAAATTCACAATCCCAAGAAATAAGGGAACGCTGTCATTAGCAATGGCAGAGGAATTCTAAATGTGACCACTCATCAACCTTATGCCTCCATGGGTGTGCCAATCCGACTTTACTTTCTGCAACTTGAAGGTGGGAAGAGGTCAGTGGCATAAGTTGGCCACTGTGGGTGTTGTGAGAATGACCATTAACAAGTAATGTTTGTTCATTTTCAATTTCCTTGGATAAAACATATGTCAACTAAATTGATTATGAACTCATTAAAAGGCCAATTAGACAAAGTAAATTTGACTCAAAAGATTAGTTAACATGCTATCAGCCATTGTGACTCTCTGTTATTTATTTGAATGCATAAATATGCTAAATCACCACTTATGAGTGAACTTCTGGTTACAGAGACTATGGCATTTAATCACTTGAGGATCATCTATGCTTGCAAAGAATTTATCTAATTGAGGAAATCAAACACCCCATAAGAACTAACTAGGAAATTATAACGCAATATACCTCGGTTTTCCCTAATGTCCTTAGGATATTATTATTGCTACTATTAATATTTTAAATTCTGATTTACTCTTAAAAATCCATTTATCTTTAAGTTTTGGGAATAGAATAACAGAAAATTTAATAATACTAATTCATAAGGTTAGGTTGATTTCTATAGCCTCCCAAAGTCCCCATGGTGATAAAGCTAAGTATGCTTGGACAGCTGGTACTAAGCACTGGGCATTTCATGTAAAGGGTACTCACCTTGCTTCTTCCTTCTGTGTGTTCCCTGGACCCAGCCTGCATATCAGGTCCAATGCGATATAATTTGCTAGTTTCTTTATTAATTAATTCTAAACAGAGGAAGAGAGAGAAGTCTCACAGAGCTAGGGAAGCACTATTAGCCCAATTGAGAGCTTTAACTTCTGTTTCTTGTTAGTCAAAGATATGCTTCTGAGCACTTCAATACTATTGTTTTCTCTTTCAGAGATTAGCTGCGGATTTGAGTTTTAAAATAACATTTGTTACTTCCCTGGTGTTTATTCTATTATTGACCCCCCCTCCCCCATGCCCCCCCTCTCCCCCCCCCGGCCAGTGAGTCACACAGAATGGCCAGAAAGATATTTCTAAGGGAACGTTAGTGGTGCGGGTTGCTTTCCATTCCTTAGTCTTACATCTGTCCTCTGTGCATAGCTGAGGGTCAAGCAAATGGGAGTGAATATTCAGAAGTATGTCCCAGGACTCCAAACACAGAAGATTCGATTAGATGAATATTTCTCCATCATTCATCCTCAAGTTACCTTCAACATTTCCAGCATCTGCAAATTTATCAACAGTCAATTTGTCCTGAAGGCACGGAGAGAAATGATGCCTGAAGCATGGAAACGTCAACCCACGCTCAAACTCCGAGGTAGTAACTCCCCCTCCCCCTTGCTCTCCGCTGTTAGGGAGATTGGTTAGAAATGAAAGAGGCAGAGCCTTCCAATTTCCTGAAAAAAGTTGGATAAAAAGTGGGACAGGGAATGCATTCAGAACAGTTACTTTTCTTACATTTCTATTTGGCTTGATCTGTAAGCAATATATTTTATTTCTTCAATCAATTCTGGTTTAGACACAAATGGACACTATATATCATCCTACTATAAAAAATACAGACATTAAATTAGTACCAGTAGTACCATGTGCATTATATGGCATGTTTTATAAAATATTAAAATATATTTTATTTTATATAAAATGAAATTGTGGCCTCTGTTACCAAAATTTTTAGAGTGCACATGGTACTATTGGTACTAATTTAACATCTGTATTTTGTATAATAACCTGATCATTTGACCTATAGTTAATAGGGCACACATTTTGCTTTCATTTTAGTTTCTTTGTGATAAATTTTGCATAACATAAATACAGCAAATCAGACATTTAAAAAGCTACTACAAAGATTAAAGAAAGTATCAAATTCAATTCAAACTAGAGTAAATAAAGACACAAAAAACATAAAAGTTCTAAAATATGGCAACAATGACATGAAATGGGGGGGGTAGGTGTAAAAATGTATCAACTGCTCTACGTAAATAAACTGCTATACGTAAAGAATGGAACACATAAACCTCATTGGAAGCCACAAACCAACAACTTATAAAAGATATACCAAAAAAAAAGAGATATGAACAAAAAGGCTCTATTGAAAATAAACAGACAAAAAGGACATAAAGGAAGAGGTTAAGGGGGGAGGGAAAGGAACAGAGGAGAACTATAAAAACAGCCAAGACAATTAATAAAACGGTAATAAGCACATGCTTGTCAATAATTACTTTAAATGTAAAGGGATTAAATGTTCCAATAAAATGGCATAGTTAAGGTGGCTGAATGAATTAAGAAAAGTGACCCATTATATATTGCCTACAAGAGACTCACTTCAAATCAAAAGACACATACAGACTGAGAGTGAACAAATAGAAAAAGATATTCCATGCAAATAGAAACAAAAAGAAAGCTGAAGTAGCAATACTTACATCAGACAAAATAGACTTTAAAACAAAAGTGGAATCGCTAGGTCTTATGATAATTCTGTTTCTAATTTATTGAGGAATTGCCATATTGTTTTCCAAAACTGCTGTACATTTTAAATTTCCATATGGAGTGCACAAGAATCCCAATTACTCCACATCCTCATGACCACTTGTTATCTCCTGCTTTTTTGTTTTCTGTTTGTTTGTTTTTTATAATTGCTATTCTAATGGATTTTAACTGGTATCTCATTATGGTTTTGATTTTCATTTCCCTAATGGTTGAGCATGTTCTAAAATATTTTTTAATTGATTTCAGAGAGGAAGAAAGAAGGAGAGAGAGATAGAAACATCAATGATGAGAGAGAATCATTGATCAGCTGCCTCCTGCACACCCCATACTGGGGATTGAGTCCACAACCTAGGCATGTGCCTTGACCAGGAATTGAACTGTGACCTCCTGGTTCATAGGTAGATGCTCAACCACTGAGCTACACCACCCAGGCTGATTGAGCATTTTTAATGTGTGTATTGGCCATTTGTATATATGTTTTTAGAGAAATGTCTATTCAGATCCTTTGCTCATTTTTTAATTATTTTGTCTTTCTGTTGTTGAGTTGTAGGAGTTCGCTAAATATCAGAAATATGATTTGCAAGTATTTTCTTCTTTTCCATTGGGGGGGAGGCATTTCACTCTGTTGACTGAGTCCTTTGATGCTCAGATGTTTTACATTTTGATGTGATCCAACTTATCTAGTTTTTTCTTGTATTGACTGTGCTTTTGGTGTCACATAGAAGAAATCATTGCCAAATCCAACGTCACTCAGGTCTTCTGTGCTTTCTTCTAAGAGTTTTATCGTTTTACCTCTTACATTAGATATTCTGAGTTAATTTTTATATACGGTGTGAGAGAGGACACATTTTGAGCTGTCTTTTTGTTAAACTTGTAGTTAGGTGTTCTCGGTATAAAGAGTAGAGATTCCGGGGAGGAAAATGATGTGCTCTGGGAATCCCAAATGAGTTGTAGAGTGATGGGTGATGAGGCTGCAAGATGAGGACCTGAGCTCTATTGTGCAGTTGGGAACGTTTTTAAGTGTCTGCCATGTCCAGATTTGAGGTTTAGGATGAGCACTCAGGAGGCGTCTGAAGGATGGCCCAGAGAGCAGGGAATTGGAGCACTGGAGGCCAGGTGGAGGCTGCCACTGGAGAACAGGTGGGAAGCTTTAAAGCACTGAGTGCACTCTGGCAGTGGCACTGGGCGGTGATCAGGGAACAGAGGCGCAACATAATTAAGGCAGAAATTGGTGACTGGGTGTAGGAGTTGAAAACGAGTACTTAGGATAATTATTAATTTTCTTGCTTGGGTAACTGGATGATGAAGGTGATTAACGGAGAAAAGATATGATGTAAACTTGAGAGCAGAAACTTTCATCAGTTTGAGTCACTGCTACATTCTCAATGTCTAAGACCACGTGCCTGGCTCATAGCAGGGACTAAGTGCATATGTTATGAAAGAATTAATAAAGAAAGAGAAGATGGGCAGAGGGGATAAAAGGTGAATTCAGTGATATCTATGTATATAAATACTTAATAGGTATTTTAAAAATCACTGTTAATGGGAGTGTAAATTGTCACAATCTCTTTAGAGGGCAATTTAGCAATATGTATCAAAGCCTTAAAATGAACATATTCTTTGTTTCAGGAATTTAATGTATAAAAATATATCCTTTAACATAATAGCCATAATTGTACACAATGAGTTACTTTAAGTTACTTTCTCATTGAATGTTGTTTAGATCAGTAAACAAGATGGAATATAATCAATTCTAGCTTATTGCTTAAATGTCATATAAGTGTAGCCAGCAAAAAAGATGCATATCTACATTTAATAACATGGTAGAATATCTATTATATATTTTAAATGAAAAATGCAGATTACAAAAAGAAGATGCCAGATAACTCTTTTTTGGGGGGCGGGGGAGGGCTTATAAAAATATATATTACATAAAGTACTATGCAGCTATAAAAAAAAGGATTTCTTACCCTTTGAGACAGCATGGAGGGTATTATGCTAGACAAAATAAGCCAGTCAGAGAAAGACAAGTATCACATGATCTCACTCATGCGTGGAATCTAATGAACAAAATAAACTGATGAATAAAATAGATGCAGAGACATAGAAGCATGGACCAGATTGATGAATCTCAGAGGAAAGTGAGTGGTGGGGGAGGTGGGGATAGATTAACCAAAGAACTTATATGCATACTAGAGGCCCAGTGCATGAAATTTGTGCACTCAGGGGGGGTCCCTCAACCTGGCCTGTGCCCTCTCATAGTCCAGGAGCCCTCAGGGGACATCCGACTGACAGCTTAGGCCCAATCCCCCTGGGAGCCTAAGCTGTCAGTCAGACATCCTTAGTGCTGCTGCAAAGGTGGGGAGGCTCCTGCCACTGCCACTGTGCTCGACAGCCATGAGCCTGGCTTCTGGCTGAGCAGTGCTCCCCCTGTGGGATTGGGCCAAAACCAGCTCCGACATCCCCTGAGGAGTCCTGGATTGCAACAGGGCGCAGGCCAGGCAAGGGACCCCACCAGTGCACGATTGAGGTCCGGAGAAACGCGGGAGGTTGGCCAGCTGGGGAGGGCTCCAGGGCATGTCCAGCCCCTCTTGCTCAGTCCCGATTGGCCAGACCCCAGCAGCAAGCTAACCTACCAGTCAGAGTGTCTGCCCCCTGGTGGTCAGTGCATGTCATAATGAGCAGTTGAGCCACCTTAACATATCATTAGCATATTACGCTTTGATTGGTTGAACGGCCGACTGGTTGACCGGACACTTAGCATATTAGGCTTTTATTATATAGGATATGCATAACCCATGGACACAGATAATAGTGTGGTGAAGGTCTGGTTAAGGGGTTGTGGGGGTGGATGGGTAAGAGGTAGAGAGGGTCAATGGGAGAAAAAAAGGGGACATCTATAGTACCTTCAACAATAAAGAATCAAAATTTAAAGAATAAGAGCCCTTGCCTGTTTGGCTCAGTGGTTATAGCTTCAGCCATTGAACCTGGGTTGCAGGCTCAATCCCCGGCCCTGGTTGGGGTGCATGTAGGAGGCAATCAATCAATGTGTCTCTCTCATATTGATGTTTCTCTCTGTGTCTCTCTCCTTCCCTTCCACTCTCTAAAAATCAATGGAAAAAAAAGATCCTTGGGTGAGGATTAACAAAAAAAAATAATAATAATAATAAAAGTAAAAATAAATAAATAATAATAAAATAAATAAAAGCAGACCTGTACTGCAAAATATTAACAGTAATTATGTGGTGAAATTCTAAGCAAATTTTTGTCTTCCACATTTTCCTTTTTTTGCAGTGGATGCACATTACTTTTATACTAAAACAATAAGCATATATATTTTTAAAGAAATGTGCATATTGAGTCTGGGAAGCAAGGTTTCCTCTGGAAATACAGACTCATTGTCAGCACGGTATAGATGAAGTTGTGGAATGCTAAAAGAGAAGACTACCAAGACAGAACCCTGGGGAACACCAACATTTAACGAATGAGCAACAACAACAAGCCTAAAGGAACAATTGAGAGAAGTAGGGAAACCTCAGGGAGAAAGCAGGGTCAGGGGGATAGCCTGCTTCACACCAGCAAACAGCAGGTTGGCTGAGGAAGGGAAAGACTGGCAGACTTGTGTAGGAGCAGGTGTTTGGAGGCCATGTAGAGACGGGGAGATGAATAAATGGAGGCAGGAAGTATAGATAACTTTCAGGAAATTTGACTAAAATGGAAGGAGTGAGCCTGTGCCCTGGCTAGGAAGGCTCACTGTGTGGTGATGGTCTGGGAGCCAGGTCCTCTCCTGTTGGTGACTGGCCTTCTTGTCACTTTCTCTCTGTGATGGCAAGGCCAGATGATCTGGATGGAGTCCGTGCGGTGCATGATATACCTGTGCTCCCCGAAGCTCCGCAGCCTGCAGGAGCTGGAGGAACACCAGATGCATCTTTCTGACCTCGCCCCCCACGACACCACCAGGGATCTCATCCTGCTGAACCAGCAGCGACTGGCTGAGATGGAGCTGTCCACCCAGTTGGAGAGGAAGAAGGAAGAGCTGAGGGTCCTCTCTAAACACTTGGCCATAGAAAAGAAGAAAACAGAGACCTTGCTTTATGCCATGCTACCTGAACATGTGGCCAACCAGCTGAAGGAAGGCAAAAAGGTGGATGCAGGTAAGGCCCTCCCTTCCTGTCACAGGACCTCCGGGTGTGAGGCAGTGTGCCTTAGTGGTTAAGGGTATAGGATCTGAAACCAGGCAGATCTGGATTTGAATTCTGGCTCCATAGCTTCTGAGCAATGTGATCTTGGGTTATATATCCTCCGTTTTCTCCTGTCTACTTTTGAGAATAATAAAAGTAATACAGAAGTGAAATAGGGATTAAATAAAAATGCCTGTCAGCTATACCAGCATATATAGTGTTCCCCAGAAATTTAAAGCTGCATCCGAAGACTGGCCTTTGCTCAGTGGCCATGAATAGAGTTCTTCACTATGATTGGAAATTAGACACCTAAGCATTAAATCACGGGGTGCTTCTTGGGGCCCTTCTGGGAGAGCAAGCTATTTCTGGAAGGAAGGATCTTATGTTCACTCTGAACTTTCCATTTGTAGTGGGCATGTATTCATTCACCATACATGCAAGGTGAACTTACTTAGTGCCAGGGTGCTATTCCAGGTTCTAGGAACACGAAATAGTTCATAGTTTTGTGGGTTTGAGAGATAAACATGGAATAAATTAGTGGGGGAGGGCATGGGTATGGCCAAAGGAAAGGAAATGAACATTCATTTAGGAGCAAGAATTGTGCCAGAATCTGTTATTTTATGTTTGCTATTTCATTTAATTTTCTGAATATTACTAGGAGGGGGAGGGTGTTATTTATCCATACTGTACAGCTGAGCTAATTTACATTCACCCCAGCTTATGAGTAAACCAATAAGTTTATCAAATTTAAAAATTCATGCTCTTTCTACCACATAAGGTGCTGTGGAAACACAGATAACAGGGAAATTACGAATAAATAGGTGGTGTTGCGAAGGCTTATCTAAAGTGTGTGGCACTTGAGTTGGGTCATGAGGCTGAATATCAGCAAAAAAGGAGGGGGCATTTGCGAGAGTGAGCTGGTAAGAGGAAAGGTAAGGTCATGTAAAAATAAATACTGTAGGTATTGTCCTTAGAACATGGGGGTGCATAGCAAAGTGGTGCCTTATGAGGCTGGCAGATGGGATGAGGCTTAGGTGATAGAGTGATGAATCTGGATTACTATGGGAAAGAAAATTGTTTTATATTTTAAATGTGGGAATTCAATAAAGTATTTTTCCTATAATGGAAGTGATATGATTAGCTTTTTAAATATAAATATAAAATATAAAATATTTTTATATTTTTAAATATAAAATATTATATTTTAAATATAAAATATTATTTTATATTTTATATTGTTTTAAATATTTTATTTTATATTGTTTTAAATATAAAATATTATTATATTATATTATATTATATTATATTAAATATAATATAATTTTGGTAACAGTGCAGAGAACACATGTGAGGGAGGCACACTGAGAGCCCATAAAAGTGCAGTTCAGTGATGAGAAAGGCCTGAATTAAGACAGCATGAGTAGGAATCAGGAGGATTTCATAACTGATAAGATGGGGAAGGCAAAAGATAGGAGTCAGTGATGAGTGTAAGGGTTATAGCATGGAAAGAAGTGATACTTTATCGTAAGACAGAACAGAGAGAGTAGTCTTTTTTTTTAAATTAAATCTTTATTGTTCAGATTATTACATTTGTTCCTTTTTTTCCCCCCACAACTCCCCTCCACCCAGTTCCCACCCCACCCTCCGCCCTTACTCCCCATCCACTGTCTTCATCCATAGGTGCGAGATTTTTATCCAGTCTCTTCCCGCATCTCCCACACCCCTTTCCCACCGAGAATAGTCAGTCCACTCCCTTTCTATGCCCCTGATTCTATTATAATCACCAGTTCATTCTGTTCATCAGATTCTGTATTCCCTTGATTTTTAGATTCACTTGTTGATAGATGTGTATTTGTTGTTCATAATTTGTATCTTTACCTTTTTCTTCTTCTTCCTCTTCTTAAAGGATACCTTTCAGTATTTCATATAATACTAGTTTGGTGGTGATGAACTCCTTTAGCTTTTTCCTATCTGTGAAGCTCTTTATCTGACCTTCAATTCTGAATGATAGCTTTGCTAGAGAAAGTAATCTTGGTTGTAGGTTCTTGGCATTCATCACTTTGAATATTTCTTGCCACTTCCTTCTGGTCTGCATAGTTTCTGTTGAGAAATCAGCTGATAGTCGTATGGGTACTCCCTTGTATGTAACTGACTTTCTTTCTCTTGCTGCTTTTAAGAATCTCTCTTTGTCTTTTGCTCTTGGCATTTTAATTATGATGTGTCTTGGCATGGTCCTCTTTGGATTCCTTTTGTTTGGGGTTCTCTGCACTTCCTGGACTTATAAGTCTATTTCTTTCACCAGGTAGGGGAAGTTTTCTGTCATTATTTCTTCAAATAGGTTTTCAATATCTTGCTCACAGAAAGAGTAGTCTTGAGGGCAGCAAAGCCTGGCCAGTTTTAGAGCTGTTGAGTATGAAATGCCCATGGGATGCTCTCTATAACATGACCAACAGGCAGTCAGGAATTGTAGGGAGAGCTCAACGTACGTTCTAGGACAAAGATCTGGGAGTTATCCCAAGATGGATGGTAGTTCATCATAGACCCTATGAATGATGGAGGTCACCTAGGGGGCATGAGGTGAAAAGAGAAGACAGTGTGTACTGAACTTTAGGGGACACCTATTATGTAAATAGGGGAGAAAGCCAGTAAAAAAAAAGGAGATGATAAAAGTAAGAAGAATATAGAGAGAATGGTAGGCCAGAAGCCACAGGGAATAGAAAGTTAGATGAATGGGAGATTATTACCATAGGTACAAATAATACAGAAGGCATCCAGCTCTGGTCAAAGAGATATCCATATAGTCATTCAACACATACGTATTGAGCATCTACTATGTGCCAGGCCCTGATCCAGGTGCCGGAGTTACAGCAGAGTTCAAAACAGTTTCTCACCTCATGAAGCTTGTTTCAATGGAGGAGATAGGCAATACCCTAATAAACAATCTCATCTAATAAAGAGGGAATATGCTAATTGACCCTCATGCCATTGCAAAGATGGTGGCGCCCATAGCCAATAAGGAGAGAATATGCTAATTAACTGCCATGCCCTCAAAGGTGGTGGCACCTACAGCCACAAGATGGAGGTGCCCAGTCCCCTCAGCCCCGCCAGGGCAGCAGGCGCGCAGCAAGGCCTTCAGAGTCCTCCAGTCTCCTCAGCCCCCCAGCCACCCAGGGACGGCCTGAGGTGATGGCAAGCCTTGGATGTCAGCTGCCCAGCCACCCAGGGCCGCCCAAGGCTCAGGTAACCAGGGCTAGCTGAGGCTTGCGCTGCCGGCAGTGGCAGCAGCAGAGGTGTGATGGGGCGTCGCCTTCCACTGATTGTCCGGTCGCCTCCAACCCCTGAGGACTCCTGGACTATGAGAGGGGGCAGGCCGGGCTGAGAGACCCCCCTCCAGTGCATGAATTTTCATGCACCGGGCCTCTAGTCTTAAAACTAGGGGGCCAGCACACGATTTGAAATCACGTGGCGCCGCCCACCCTCGAGTTGCCAGTATGACCCTGCCTTCCTCTCCAGCCCTTGAAGCAGCCAGGGCTGCTGCTGATCAGGCCCTCCCCCAGCACAGGCACATGGAGGACCCTGCCACCCTGCCCCCGACACTGCAGGCGCAACCTCCTCCTGTCTGGTTGACCCGTTAAGGTGTCTGGTTAATTAGCATATTTCTTTATTATATATATATAGATATCGTGCTATATAAGTCTTTTTTTTTTTTTTTTATTGCTTAAAGTATTACAAAGGGTATTACATATGTGTCCATTTTATCCCCCCGCCCTAGACAATCCCCTAGCCTCCCCTATCCCCCAATGTCTTATGTCCACTGGTTATGCTTCTATGCATGCATACAAGTCCTTTAGTTGATCTCTTACCCCCCTACCTCCTGCCCCGCAACCCTCCCCGGCCTTCCTGCTGCAGTTTGACAATCTGTTTGAGGCAGCTCTGCCTCTGTATCTATTATTGTTCAAAAGTTTATAATGGTCTCTATTATCCATGAATGAGTGAGATCATGTGGTATTTTTCCTTCATTGACTGGCTTATTTCACTTAGCATAATGCTCTCCAGTTCCATCCATGACGTTGCAAATGGTAAGAGTTCCTTCCTTTTTAGAGCAGCATAGTATTCCATCGTGTAGATGTACCACAGTTTTCTAATCCATTCATCTACTGATGGGCACTTAGGCTGTTTCCAGATCTTAGCTATGGTGAATTGTGCTGCTATGAACATAGGGGTGCATATATCCTTTCTGATTGGTGTTTCTGGTTTCTTGGGATATATTCCTAGAAGTGGGATCACAGGGTCAAATGGGAGTTCCATTTTCAGTTTTTTAAGGAAACTCCATACTGTCTTCCATAGTGGCTGCACCAGTCTGCATTCCCACCAGCAGTGCACAAGTGTTCCTTTTTCTCCACATCCTCTCCAGCACTTGTCGTTTGTTGATTTGTTGATGATAGCCAGTCTGACAGGTGTGAGATGGTACCTCATTGTTGTTTTGATTTGCATCTCTCGGATGATTAGTGACTTTGAGCATGTTTTCATATGTCTCTTGGCTTTCTGAATGTCCTCTTTTGAAAGGTGTCTATTTAGGTCCTTTGCCCATTTTTTGATTGGATTGTTTATCTTCCTTTTGTTAAGTTGTATGAGTTCCCTATAAATTTTGGAGATTAGGCCCTTATCGGATATGACATTGGCAAATATGTTTTCCCACACAGTGGGTTTTCTCGTTGTTTTGTTGATGGTTTCTTTTGCTGTGCAGAAGCTTTTTATTTTGATGTAGTCCCATTTGTTCATTTTCTCTTTAGTTTCAAGTGCCCTAGGAGCTGTATCAGTGAAGAAATTGCTTCGGCATATGTCTGAGATTTTGTTGCCTTTGGATTCTTCTAGAATTTTTATAGTTTCCTGTCGTACATTTAAGTCCTTTATCCATTTTGAGTTTATTTTTGTGTATGGTGTAAGTTGGTGGTCTAGTTTCATTTTCTTGC